CAGATCTTCCAGTGTATCTGCGATTATAACTGTGTCATCAGCATGTCTTAGGTTGTAGATTTCTATGCCATTTATAGTGAAGCCCTCTTTGCAGTTGTGAAGTGCATTCTCTATAATTTTATTACTGTAGATATTAAACAACAGTGGAGACAATATGCAACCCTGGCGAACATTACTCCGTATTCGAACATCTTCGGAAAATTGGCCATCAACCTTTATCTGAGCTGTCTGGTTCCAGTATAGATTGGCAATTATATTTAGGTCTCCATCATCTAGACCCACTTCTTTGAGATATTCTATGAGCTTTTGGTGTCGGACTTGATCAAAAGCCTTCTCATAATCTATGAGACAGGCATAGAGTGGCACCAACACATCCCTAGAACATTGAACCAACACCTGAACACCAAATAAAGCCTCTCTAGTACCAAACTCTCCACGAAATCCAAACTGTGTGTCTCCCATGAACGATTCGCACTTTCCGTACCTATATTCTTTTATGGATAATCTTTAAAAATATTGTCAGCATATGACTGATTAGGCTGATTAAAGGGTAATCGCTACACTTCTTTGCTGAGTGCTTTTTAGGCAGTGTAACAAAGGTTGATTTCATCCAGTCAACTAGAATTTTACAAGTTAAATAGTTTGACCAGCGTATTTAACGAATCTCCGTTCTTTAGAAGTTTTAAAACTTCCGTGTATACTTCGTCTTGCCGTAACCCTTTTCTGGTTTAAACCAAAGATATTGCGTGCTGAAATTCTTTTTTTGTGATATCTACACCTTGATTTAAGAATTTCTCCGGACGTTCGGACCGATTATTGCTAGTAGGTACCAAGAATTGAAAGATCATCCACATATAATAATACGTACCTATAATTGGTCATTCCCTAAGTGTTTTGAATACAAGCAATAATAATTCTCTGACCTATTAAAACCTTCATTTTTCTTCAGATTATCAAATTTGGAATTCCAACATTTAGGTGCTCTTTTAAGAACATAAATGGACTTGCTTAATTTACAAATTCTACTACTATTATTTTTATTCTCACCAGGTAAACAAATGTAAATTTCTTCCTTGATTTCACCATACAAAACCGCACTTTTCATATCCATTTGGAAAATCGGCTTCATAGCGTCATTCCATTTGGTGGCATTGTTTTCATTTTAGATTTCTTCCAAACTAATAGGGTTCTTATTTTGTGAAAAGAAACTTGTCTCATAATCTATCATCCAAAAGGGTGTCTGAATTTATCTTTTATTAAGTCTGGTACTTGATTTTGTAATATCTTCAATTTCTGGTTCGATTTCTTGAATATTGTCCACATCATCATTGGAGTTTTCGTCACTTGTGTGTAAGTTTTCTGTTTCATACAATTTTTGGTTTTTATTTTCAACTGCTTCTGATTCTGATCCACTCTCATCACTGTTTCGCAGGTCCAATTTTATAACTTTTCCAGTTGTACTATTTACTTCATTTTGGTAAATTTTAGGTATAAAAATAACGTCTCTATGCATCTCTACATTATTTTTGTCCTCAAAGTAAATTCGATAACCTTTTACATCTTCATTAGATCCCACAAAAACACCTTCACTACTTTTAGAATATAATTTAAGTATTTTCTCTTTGGGTACATGTACTTTGACTTTTGTACCAAACTCCTTGAAGAACGTCAAATCAAAATCTTTATTGTGCCATAACCTGAATGGTGACTCATTTTTTTGGTGTTACTTCCTACTCTATTCAGTGTAAATACAGCACAATAATTCACTGCTTCTGCTCAAAAAGACATTCATATTTTTACTGTGTAGCATGGTTCTTGCAGCTTCTACAATGGTTCTCATATCCCTTTCGGCCCTTCCATTCTGCTGAGGTGTGTAGGAACAAGATCTTTTATGTCGAATGCCCTTTGTATCAAATAAGTTTTTCAAATCTTTATTTATAAACTCTAAACCATTGTCAGAACGAAATGTAATTAGTTTGTTGCAAGTGATATTTTTAGCCAATGTTATAAAAAGTGTCAGATTTATTTTGTAAAAAATAAACATACCTTTATCCAGAGAAATCATCCTTTAGCAAAAGACAATATTTTGCTCCTCCTAACCAGGCTACTTCAAATGGTCCACACAAATCAGCATGTTCTTTCCTGATTTTTCTGCTCTGGATTCACTCATCGAAAATGAGAGCTTTTGTTGCTTTCCAGTTAGGCATTGTGTACAAAATGGCTTCATTTCCTTTTTAAATTATATACATACTGCTATGTTTTAGAATATTTTTCACTTGTTCAAAATTAATATGGGCCAATTTACAGTGCCATTCGGTTATAGTTTCCACCAAATAACATTGTGATATCCCTGGCCTTTCAATTTCAAGTTTCCGTTGGCTTCTGAATTGCATTTTATACAAATTTCCATGTCTAACAACTACTACTATTACTCTATCTTGTGTCTAACAAATCACATCTATCCTTATTTGAATGCATCTCGAGACCTCGATCCAATACAGTGTTCAGAGAAAATAAGTTTACAGGCAGATTTAGAATAAACAGAACGTTGTTTAGAATTGTTTTTATCCACGAGTTGCCATTCCATGCTTGCACTCGAATTTTTCCAACTTCATGTACTTCAAGTAGTATCCTATTCCCTATTTTGACTTGTCTTTTTCCTTTCAATTTTGTCACTGATTCAAAACATTCAATTTGACTGCACAGTTGCTTCAGTGTCCAACCACCATTCACAAGCACCATACCATCAAAACTTGAATATTGTCCTGTTATCCGTTTGCAGATTTTTCTTAAACCAACAATTTTCTACTAATAAGTAGCCAACTTTTTTACAATAAGTACACATTTTCTTTGATTGAACACTGGGCAATTTCTTTTAATATGCCCAGACTTGTTGCATTCAAAATATTCTACTTGGTTATGAGCTGCCTTTTTATTGTTTCGAAATTTGCTGTTACTTGCCAGTGCTGTGGACTCTTCTTTGCCATTATTTCTCTTCTCTTCAACCATTTACCCTGACGTTAATTCTATAAGTGTTTGTTTATCATTAGGAGATGACTACCATGCTGTAACAAAGTGCCTCAAATCACCCGGGAGTGCCATTAAAACCTTTGTTATAATCATTTTCTCACTGATTTCTTCTCCTAAATGCTTTAGACTTCCTTTAATCTCCTCTACCTGAGATATTAATTCTGCAATGCCACCTTCTTTATACTCTAAATTAAAGAATCTTTGTTGGAGCAAATGTACACTAATTTTCGACTTACTGCACTGTACTGCACGACAGAATGTGTTCTCATGAAGCCTCGATACGATAATTTCTTGTGCTTTTGCATCTTTTCTGTCATACTCTTTTGCATTGTGTGGTGTCCTAATAGTGGTTCCACTTACAATATCAAAACATGCCTTGGCCTTCAATAACACTAGCACTTGGAACTTTCAAGTCATCCAATTTTCACCATTCAATTTTACCACTTGGATTGCCCGGTCTCCCATTCTGGTTTTTGCGCCCCAACTGGGTTTTCCTCGACGCAACCACCTGCACGAGTTTTATACACACGAACAATATCGCGAACTACTATACTGTCCGTTTTTCCCGACCTTTTGATACCGTAACACGAACCAAAATCCCGTTTTTACGATTTCACAAACTTTATCACAAGCCTGGGCCCATAACCTGTTGAGATTAATGATTGGGGCTTGTAAAATCAAGTAGAACAATAAGTTTATTTGTTAATAATAAACAACCGACCACGCCAGGCCAATCAGAAAACTGACATAGCAAGACAAGGCACAACCCTAACCCAATTCTCATAAGTCAAAAACGTTAAGGTAGTTTCACACTTGTGCCATGATTAACGTAACGGCGTTCTAACTGAATACTAAAACTAAAGTAATAATAAAATATTTATATTGGTACCTACATATGTTATTTATGTATCTCTTTTAACATTATTCACCGATGATTTCTTTTGCTGCCAGTTTTAGCTTTGATCATGATAAGTACATTATCAGAAATCAATATCAATCAATTCAAAATGCTCGAGACTAAATAAAAATTTGAAATCATCGAAAAAAAAAAAATATATACCGAATTAAGAAGGCCATGAAGTGCAGTCTCTGTCCCAAAGTAGCTAGGTATCTATCATCTCAGAAATCTCCACTTCTATAATAATTCGTAGGTATTCTCGGTTTATTGAAATAATAGGTAATATTTAAGTTGGACGAGTTGTACATTTTATTCGACACAGCTCAGTAGGTACTTTATGATACACTTTTGTTACTTAATGAGACTCATGAGCATGAAACATTTCTTGCCTTCGCCTACTACTTACTTAAATCCGTTTCAACGAATCTTTAATGCCTTTCTAGGTAATACAGCTTATAATTTTCATATTCCAAGGAACATTTCCCAGTTTCCCACATCGTTGTATATTCGCCCCACATGTGCCATCCATGAAAGGAATATTAATATGCTCCCCTATATACTTAAATACCTTAGCTCTATACTTTCAAGTTCCAACTAAGTACATATTGAAAGCCTCAAAATTGCCGGTCTACACATGAAAATTAGCGTTTCGAGCGAAATTTTTATTAAGTACAAACTTTAAAAATTTCATATGCCTAAGTAAGACGCTAACAACTTATGCTAAAAATAACATGGAAACTGGCCGGATATAATTAGCCCTTTAAGAGAGGGTCACTCCCCGCGCACAATTCCACGTTGTTTAGGACATGACAATAGCGGCCATAGCTCGCCCCTGGTCACCAGTAGTGGGTGGGCTACTAAAGTGATATCAAGTGCCTGTCTACATGCCGTGTCGCCACCGTTACCGCAGCCTGTTCTGATTGATAGCTCCACTCAGGCAAAACGGATACCAGACCACACACATTTACCTAACTCCTCCCCACGTATAGCTCCACCCTGAACCGTGGTCTCCGCCCCGAGAAAACCGGAGTACTCCACACTTTGTTATTCGGTGGGTCAGTCTCGTAGCGGCTACGTCGTAGACTTGTATAGAAGGTATTCGATTGATGTGACAAGAGGGTGATTTATTTAATATTTTTGTTGGTGGTTTTATTTTGTGACAAAATTGTGCGAGGTGTGATGTTACTCGGAGCGATGCCGGAAGACTTGGTGGTGCCTACTGGCAAGAGCCAGAGGGCTACGGACTTTTCGATTGCGGCTATTATGGCGAAAAATGCTAGTCCGTCGGATAGGGACAGTGTTGGTGGTCGCGATTTACCAACTGATGGTAAGTGATCATTTTTTTATTTCCTATGCTGTAAGTAATGTACCTACTTATGATAGAATGTTTTAAATTTGTTGCTGACTTGACATCAAATTTAGAGATGTTGTTGAAGTGCTATATGCGAAGAAAGAACCAATGAAAACTGAGTTCAAGAAACAACTTATTTATATGAAATAGGTACTTAGTTATAAATCCAAAATAATAAAACTATTAATGAAGTTGCAATTTACTATTTCTAAGACCACAAAGCAGTCAATACTGCCTTGATCGACATCACATATGTTAAAAACACTTCAATAACTACTTAATCAATGAAGAAAGTTATCATCATCCACGCATCATATAAAATTACTAGAAAATAGACACAAGATGCGTGGATGATGATAACTTTCTTCATAGATTAGGTATGTACTTTAGTTATTGAAATGTTTTTAACATACCTAAAACAATATTTTACAAAGATTGTTATAAAATTACTAGAAAATAGACATAACAGTCTTTGTAAAATGTTGTTTTAGGTATGATACCTATAATGACTGTTAAGAATGTCCTCTGCAATGTTGAGGAGGATAAGTAGATACCTAATAGTTTACCCATATAGGAATCAGTAATATAAAAGCTTCATCATTAATGTAGGTACCTTTACCTGTAAAATAGTTGCACTTTCATTTCATGCGATTTCATTTCTAAGTATCTGTGTATTCAGATTATTCAATGATAATGGCAGCTTCCGCAAGATATGAAACGCACTTCTTCACCGAAGTATGATCTGTTGAACAATATTTAGGTACTGTTAATGTTCAATTAAACGAAAATTTTCCAAAAATTCAACAAAATAATACCTACCTACCTAAAATTATATAATTTATTTTCTACTTTACTATTATAGATCCATAATACCTAGGAAACGAAATACGGTTAACACACCTATAACAACCTGATCCATAACGCCCGCTTTTGCGGGCGTTATGATCTATAACGCCCGCTTATAATACCTTAAGGTGTTTTTGTTTTTGTTGTTCTATTAATTTGCACTTTACCCTAGGCAGCCACTAAATGTCTGACCGAAAATAATTTTCGGTCTAGCCAGGATTCGAACCCGGTCTACCATCAACGTTTCCCATGTAGTCCAGCGCGTTAACCCACAGGACCACCACCGTTGCCTTGCCTTATGAGATGTTTATAGATATATCAATTTATTTCGTTTCTATGTACAGGTCGCAGGTACAGGTACAGGTCACAGGTACAGGTACATGTCAAAATACAAATCAATATTCTGTCACACAAGTTTAACTGATTTTGTTGATAATAAATTGATGAAAAAATATTGGGTTGAGTAGAAAATAAAGCATTGTATGCACCACGGGGATTTCAAGATTATAATGCCCTTCAGGCGAAATATATCCCTCGGGCCATAGGCCCTCGGGCTAGTTTCGCCTTCGGGCATTATAATCTACATAATCCCCTTGGTACATAAATAGCTATTAAAAACACCAGAACAATGTCAAATAGAATAGAAAATATTATAATAAATACAACAGGTCTACAATCTCCGGTTAGGTGTTAAAATGTCAATAGTAAATTTAAACAATAATGCATATAGGTACGAAAAGAAAAAAAACAACACATATTTAAGTTAATTTCTATCAAACTTAAAAACTCAACATTGAATCAGTTATGTATCCGGTTCGTTATAAAAATCGGTGATATAATGGCATGCCTTACCAACTAACTACCTAAATATTTCTTCAAAATATATTTGAGCTTATTATTCTATTGGCTCATCGTTGACTCAAACTCACAATCGTTTTCGATTTCAAGTGAAGTTTGTGAAGTAATCAGAACAGTTCTATATCAACAGAAAAACAAATTACAGAATTTCTACGATAAAGTTTAATAAAATATAACTTTGTAAACAAAAAATCTCGATAATGTTTCGTTCGCTTTAAATAAGGGCATCTATATTATGATCTGATTCCAGGATATGATTACCTATGCCAATAATCTTCTTTTTAACTTTTTCAAATTTTTAATTCCACCCATGGAATGATGGTGAAGGAATATTTCCCCAATTTTTCATAGGTATGCCATAATTCCCCCATACAGATAGAAGTTCTTGTATAGTTTTTCATTTTCATATAAATATTTCTAAAACAACGATCTGTTCCTTATCAGTATATCTTTAACACCTCAACATAGTAGATATTGGCTTATATTCCATAAATGATTAATTGTCCGCCACCAAATTCGCCCTTCCATTAAAGTTTTTTGAAAATTCTGAGATCTCAGATCAACAGCCTTCTGCCCTTTTTTTTTTTAGAAGAACCAGTATATCTCATGCAATGACGGTTCATTTTCTTCTGCCCAAAAGCTTTTTTACCGTTGGCAGAGCTGTCACAAGTACTCCAAAGTACTTGGAGTATACAAGTACAAAGTATTATAGGTACTCAAAGTTTTGTAGAAGTAGGTAATTGAAGTACAAAGTAATTTTTTTTGTCGAATGTACTGCAATTACCAAGTACTTTGGAATTTTTCAGTTTCTAACTTGAAGTATTTTGAGAACTTGTACTTCAAATGTATTATAATGGGTCTTTCTCATAAATATAAAACATCACAATTTCCTAATTTATTATTTTTCTTGAAACCTTTGTCAAAAATTAACCAACAACCCAATACAAGCAGCCTTTAATGTCTGTGTTACTGAGTAGGTACTCTTTCGAACCATATTAATGAAATACCTGGTTCAGAGTTAAGTTGAGTGAAAAAGACCCATACGTAGATACCTGAGTACTTGGTTTTTGTAAGCATTTTACTGTACAATCAAGGTTCATATAAAGTAAGACATAAAAAGATTACTTTCAATACTCACTAAATTATTGATTATTTACTTATTGGTAGGTAAATTTGCTATGGAATACTTCTGATGTACTTCAAGTCTTCCATGTGCTTGAGGTACTTCAAGTCCTTGTACCTACTTGTGTCCGTTTCCTGTAATAATTACTTATGTTTGTATTTTTGTATTAATTTAATATTATATTGGTTAATTTTTTTAAGTGCGACAACGTCGCTTTTTTACGTCAGCAAGGCAATGCAGCCCTCTTATGATTTCATCATATTCTTGACTTCTCCCTTCTTCCTTTCTACTGCAACAAGTCAAGACGTAATTTCACATTATTCTTCATTTTTTCATATTAAAACAAATTATATTGTTGACAACAAATAAATAAGTTGTTTAAAATTGATTGTTTAATATCACTGTTAATTTACTTCATTCTGAACATCCTACGAATCAGTGTTACATTCAGCAAACTACGTAGATGTTGGCACGTCTGAAAAAGCTGAAGACTCCACATCACACAACTTGATGAAATCAAGTACAGTGCAGATTACATTGTTAAGAATAGTTCAAATATCTATATCCACTGTATTTCAAGTAAAATACTTCAAGTACTTATGAGAACTTGAAGTACACTTTGAAGTGTTTTTAACGACAAATCTGACTGTTGGCTCTTAGATTGTCACAATTCGATTCTTGTTTTCCGATGATGTTATATCCAATCACTTTATTTTTTAAATTCCATATCAAAATATTCTTTGCCACCCGAGTTGCCACCTCTTGGTTGACTTGCTCTTCTTCAACTCCTGATTTTAAAATAGGGTTACTGCAATTTTCTTAATTTAGCATAAAGACGTGATGTCAACCAACAACCAATAACTATACTTTTCAATAATTCAATTTCTCTATTGAACTTTGTGATTCTTATGTGAAGAAACCTTAATGCTTGCTTTATTAATTGTTTCAGAGTATACCTAACCTTTGTGTTTACTTCCTTGATTCAGTTTACTTTGTTTTTATTTTCTGCAATCGAGTTCAACTATAAAAAAAAAATCCAATTTCATCTGAAAAAAAAAACAATGATTTCTACGTTTCTTGAATTTGCATTATTTCATTTAAATAGGTTTATAGGTACCTATGTAAGTATATGATAAGAAATACATAATTGAGGTTTGTACATTATTTAGGGAAGCTCAATTTTGTTTAAATGTTGTGATCTAGTTTTCAGGTCACATGATTTCTCGCTTGAAATTGCTCACAAATTTGACAGCAAATATGTGGAAATGTCACACAATGATATAGGGTTCTTGATCCGTTCGGTTTTTCTCAAATAAATGTAAAATTGGTTTTTTTTGTTAAAGATAAAAGTCAAAATGACATTATGTTGGCAATACAATGTAAAATTGTCAATGCTTTCAAATTTTTTATGTAGAAAAACCTTGTGCTGCCTACTAAATTTTTGACTTGGGGAATTATCTTTAAAAAAAAACATACTTTATATTGAAATAATTCTACAAAAACATTTTCTACACGTAAATAGCAGAAACGAAACTCAAATCTTTGTGAAAAAAAATTAAATTAAAGTAGCATTTACCAACAATTATCAAGGGAATAGTGATTTCGAGATTGCAGAACGTAGAACAATAATAGGGTTATCTCTCAGCTGTAAAAAACTTTATTTTGCCCTGGGATTGCTGATCACAATGGTAGAATTCCTTCAGTATTTGCAGTAAGGTTTGATGCAGTTTTCTGCTAAGGGGTAAAGGAAAATCACTCAAATAAAGAATTTAAAAGGCAATCAACAACTTACACACAAAGGTGCAAAAGGCAATCGAAAGTACCACAGCCTAAACACTGAGAATATTAAATCCCCTTTTGAGTAACTGAGTATGATGGAAAGAATATATTGTGGGCGTACAAGAAAAACCCTTTAAGTTAATTTTTTTCTAAATTGAGATTACTTCACCTATAAGCAGTGCCGGCCTCACCTGATTCACCGCCGGGTGCAATTTACATCCCACCGCCTCTTGAAGGTTCTTAGTTTTTAAAGTTAAAAATACATCATCAGCAACGTTTTTTTATTCGAACATATTTTTTCGTAAAAATTAATATTAAAAAATACATAAATACGGTACCCACACTGATAAACTAACAAAAAGCAACAATA